TTAATATCTTTTTAATAAACAACGAGCGCCGGCTAAATCCTTCTGAGGGTTACTCAGGAGGGTGACCTCTATAATATATGTCAAGCCCAAGGTTATTGGAGGTGGGTGTGTTAATCTAAATAATTACCGAAACCAATATTAAATTTTTAAATGACGTGCATAAAGTGTCGAGTTATTAAAGTGACATATATAACACTTGCAAATGTTACGAAAATAATAGCATATCTGTTTCACGTTAATTTTACGTTGAAATAATAATCAAATCCTGGTAACACGAGAAAATGTTAACATTTGAACACGCGACTTTCTATACTGTAAAGATTAAAAGTTGTCCAAGTTATACACGAACGAAACGACAATTAACAAATTACGAATAATAAACTGCGAATCGCGAAGAGTGCGTTAAGTACACCCTCAGAAAGGGCTTCTGTTACCGAGACAAAAATTATTCTTGACGCATTTATATTTCTCATAATCTCATTTAGTATAAAAATAAGACAATGTCAAAATAAAATCAATAATTCTCATTTTCCTCTGTCGAATTGAAAAAGATTGACTTATTGCATTGAGACAAGAGTAACTTTATATACTCTTGCGTTTAGAATAAATTTTCCCTCCACGACATTCGACAAAAGATGATACTATCATTTTATTCTAGATTCCCGAATTTTTCATTTAAGATTAAAATATTCCTTTCTCTATAATAAAATTGGCGCTACATCGATCCTATTTTATGATGCATTCAAGTGTAATATCCATTGGACCCGGAAATTTTTTCTGTGGATGCAATAACGAATGTCCAACGATTTTCTACGAATCACGAATCGCGCATTACGAATCGCGCATAGTGCGGCGCTAGCTTTGAGCTGTGTTGCAAATATTTTCGAAATTATGCCTGCATTTTAGCTTTCTTGCGCCAAAGGCTTATGGTTCTCTCTTACTCCTTACGCCAGGGCTTATTGCACGTATTAGCGTGCACTCAGTGCAACTCTGTAAATGCTACTCTGTAAAGTTTTCGAGTGAAAATAAATCCATCGAGTGAAATATTCACTCTGTTAGAGCGAATCTTATTTACTCCAATAGAGCCAATATTTTACTCCGCATGTTATTTTCCCTACAAAAACTTCAGAGAGTAGTGTAAGCAACCGGATTCGCTGTAAGATCGATACGCTATTTCGTATACGGACGATCGGATCCTGAAGTCTTATGACTTTTCATCGATTATTTGGTCTGTCATTTGATCGACGAAGAGTCGTAAGATTTCAGAATCCAGCCCTTTGTACAAGAAATAGGATGTCAATATAAAAATAGAAACGGTCAGAAATAACCGCTATTTTTAGCGTTAAAAGCGACTCCGCTTCTTGTGAAATTGAAGTTAACCGTGGCTCAACAGTGTCGGTTTTATTTCGAAACTGGTGCGCGCCTGCATTCCTTCGAACGTGTCAATTCCTGAATTTTCTTTTTCTACTTAACTTTAAGAGGGGGACATCTCGAAATTGACGAAGGTGCAGTGCTGCGTCTCTATTAAAATAACGCCCTCGAATGATTTTTCCCAAGGAGGAAACCGCTGGCCAAAATCTTGTACACCAATGCCCACTAATGCCCAGTGGGCATTGCTTTGTCTTATTATCTTAATAATGTCTTATCTTAAAAATGAATCCGTACACCACAATGCCCTCAGCGGTTTACCCCTCGATTTTTCCAAATGTTTCCAATGTTTCCCGCATTTTTCTGTACAATAGAAGAGAAAACGCGAGGAAGCGAGAGAAAGAGAGAGAGCGCGCGAAAATTAATTCGCCACGGCAAAATGAACTTTTCCCTCAGTTTCTGGACGATGGAGGTTACAATATTGGTTACACGCAATTAGTCGCAATGTAGGACGAGTTATAATTCACGAGGAGCAACGCCCGTTATACATTTTTACCGCAACGTCACGCGCGCGCGCGCGCGCGAGCGCGTGTGTACATTTATTATTAATTGCATCGGAATCGCGCAACAAATAATATATAATTGATTAAACTGCAAGCGACTTTTAATCGTTTAAACGGGGAACGATTATTAAAGACTTCCGAAGAGCGTTTCGATTCGCGGCCTCTATTGATGCTTACGTACCGCGCCGGGCTGCCGGCATCATTTCGTCCGAAATCAATTCTGTTAACCCTCAATTACTTTGATGGCGGCACATCTGAC